TGGCAATTCTACGGTGACAATGTTGGTGAAACTGTGCTCTTCGGAGACAGTAATCCTGCCACACCAAAGGCGAAGTTTGGATCATACTGGATTAAAGACGGGAAGGTGGTCGGCGCATTTCTGGAGGGCGGCACTCCGGAGGAGAACAAGGCTATTGCCAAAGTTGCAAAGGCCCAACCTCCTGTTGCCAGTTTAGATCAGCTTGCTACGGAAGGTCTCTCTTTCGCTAGTAAGATTTAAACCTTCATTTGTGGTGGAAAAATAAATGGATTATAGCTCGTTGATGAAGGTTTAGAGTTAATTTGGGATTTTAATTGCATGAATCTTGTTGTTCAGAGTTACAGTGGTTATTGTTATTGTAGTTGAACGAATGTAAGAATTTCTGACAAAAATAAAATACAATATATAATCGCACCAAGATCTTTTGTAATAAACCCCCCTTTTGTGTTAGTAGGTGTTATTAGTAGTGAGCATGATATGCAAGTTGATGATAATATCGATGTGATTCAAGTGATTTGAATTGGATTGGATATGATTTGATTGGCTTGAAAACCAATGTTGTGTACCGAACAAAGTCCATATGTTATGTTTGCCACGTTGTCCAAATCCATCCGCTTGCAAATCTGTTTGTAAAATGTTCTCGTTCATCTAGTTCACATCCATCCGACCTGGTTTGTGTAGATTTTTGTTTTCTTCACGAAATCCGGCCGCCATCGTATTCATAGTTTAACAACATATTATCAAAACTTGATTATAATTTGCTTCTCCTAAAAGAAATAAGACACGACACAAGTAAGGATCGTTTGATAACCATTATTTTATTTTTTCAGTCTTCACCTTTTTAAAATTTGAAAATTGAAACGTTGGGAATGAGAGGGTGTCGGAACAAACATTGGTTCAATTCGGGCTTACACTTCAGAAACCGTAGAATTCCAATATTTTGTCAAAATAGAAGTCGTATAACCAACAGGATCCTCTCCAGATTCTATTTGCGAGGTACTATTTGTGTTCAATTTTAAATAAAAAACTTAAAATAAATTATAACTGCACAATACACGATGATTAGTAACAATTTACGGATTCCCATGATCTTCACAAAGAGGATCCAGATTCATCATTTACGGCCATTGAATTCACTCCAATCGTGTCATTGAACAGTATAATGACGTCATATGTAGCATCCCCTGCCAATAATAAAATCACGTCGTTACACTATTAGCACGAGATTACAATGGCAGCTGCGTTCATGCCATGTATGCCATTCCACTGTAAACAAAATAAATAAAAGAAAACTAATGAAAAGAGTTTGAAAACTTTGAGTTTTAATGATAAGGACAAAATAAAAGATAAAGTGAATAGTACCAGGATTGACTTTTTAGTGTAAACATGTGATTTTTCGTTAAAATGAACAGTACCGGATGCTTTTCGTTAAAGTTCCCAATAAATAAAGGAAAACTAACAAAAAGTTCAAAAAAACTTTCATTTTAATAAAAGGTCATTTTTAAAAGTATAGTAAATAGTACCAGGAAAAGGTATAAATATGGTTTTTCGTTAAAAATGAACAGTATCGGAAGTGTTTTGTTAAAACTCCCAATAAATAAAGCTACTCATCAATTTGCAAGAGCAATTTGCATATGAGATGAAAAATTTAACAACCAGTACGACAAAAGATTCATAAACTTGGATAGAAAAGAAGATTCAAATCCACAACAATTGCATAACCATAACCAACTACATATTTAGATTGTGATCATGTCTTCTACTGGCTAAGATCCAAAAACCGAACATTCAACTGAATAAAAATTTCTATTCAACTCCAACAGAGAAAACCGGGATGTATGCACTACAACCGCTCTAGTCAAAGAGACTGAATCCCATGTCCTGCAACAAGGAAAAAACAAGAAATATAAGAAAACTATATCGTAGTCTGATGTGTCTGAGATTGTTTGTTGATACAATCTGAGTATGAAGACTATTAGTAGCGGGCAAGAAAACGTGCATCTGAATGTTCCACAACTCAAACAAAGGCAAATGTCTACTGAATTTACATGACCATATTAACAGAAGGTTGCCGCCATGCACATACAAATCATGTTTAGATGGATACTATTAAACATATACCTCTTAAGAAATAATAGCAACAGAATTGGGTTAGCAGTCATTAAAGCATGCAAACCAATATTAATGAGATTATCGAGGTAACTTACATCATCGGATTCCTCTTTCTCCTCAACCTTCTCCTCTTTCTTCGCCTCAGCTGCAGCAGGGGCAGCAGCAGCAGCACCACTGCCAGTTGCAGCCACTGCAACAGCACCACCTCCACCAGCTGGTACAGAGGCCAACTTTTCCCTTCCAGAGGCAATTAGCTCTGTGATGTCCTTACCCTTGACTTCGGAGAGCAGAAGTTGAATCCTGTCATCATCAGCCTCAGCACCAACTGTAAACAATACCAAATTTTTAGATTCAGTAATACCTTGTATAGACACAACACCATGATTCCTAATGTTAATATCCGAGTAGAAAGCACAGACAACATAAGCATTCAACAACTCCAATACAGTAAAAAAAATTCTATCCTCTTGAGCCTCAGTTGGTATCTACCATCTAGGATTGGATTGGAATGGATAACCCACTTCAATAAAGGTACATTGAAGATATAAATACATATGTTGAGAGAGATGGATTACTCGTTAAGAAAACTTGTCATTCCAGTCATCCAAAATGGTAGGATTAGAAGGCATAAGATTCCACCATGTCTAATCCTCTTCTAATATTCATTTCTACCTTCAACATGCATTTAACTTAGGTGTTATCCAATCCAATCCTAGAGACCAAACGAGGCCTAGAAGTCGTCAGACCGATAACCATACACACCAAACAGAACTTCGGCAAATATAGGTATTATAACAGCATTCAATTGGTTCATCTTACCAAAAAAAAGATATGTCATATGGATTGCTATTCCAGAACATAAAAATACAAACAAACAATAACCAAAACTATTAAAGTCGAACCATCCAATTCCATACATACATTAATACAGAAAGGCAATCATTTTCGCCACGATTCAACACCGAAAAATAATACATCCACATAACCCATTCCTTGTCACTTCCATATATTCAGGTTCACAAAAGATCAAAAAATAAAATCAATCTGATAAGGATCAAAATTCAAAACCCACATAGAAAATACGAATACAGAAATGGGATTTACAAATCAACACGCAATATCGCACTACGAAACCACAAAGTCACAATCTTCGATGCGGTTAATAATTAGGGTTATAAACAGAACGAGCAAAAGAACCACAAGAAGGTAAAGGGAAAGTTACCGGAGCCAAGGATGTCCTTGATATCTTCGGCGGTAGGGGTGGTCTTGCCGCCCAACACAGCCAACAAGTATGCAGCGACCACCTTCATCTCTGCCTGACAAACACAAATTTAATAATTAAAAATGGCTACCAGTCTCTCAAATCCACATAGAGGGTGAGGGAGAGAGAGAGAGAGAGAGAGAGAGAGAGAGAGAGAGAGAGAGAGAGAGAGTACTTGAGAGGGCTCTAGATCTGCGGAGTGCGGAGAGAGGGTAAATTTGCAGCCGAATGCGAAATGAAGCAAGGAGGACAGCGAAATGAGGTTTTATGCAGAGTTGCTAGGGTTTTGATCGGACTACAACAACACCCAGCCAGACTCGGGTTTGGGCCGGATTAAAGAAACTGCCAGCCCATTGTTTTGTTGTATTTTCAATGTTTTCTCATTTAGGGCAAGTCCACCCCTAAACAAAATGATGTGATATATACACACCATTTTTTACTTCTCACACATGTTTCTAATTTTTGGTCTTCGGATCGGATGAATTGAAGAAGATCAACGAACAGAAATTAACAAATGGTGTGTGAGAAGTAAAATGGGGTGTGTGGATATCACATCCCCTAAAAAATGCACCAGCACTCAGCCTATTTTATCCACTAGGCCTCGTTTGGCAGCTCGGACTGTACTGACTATTTCTGTCGGATAGGATAAATAGCCACCGGATAGTACTGACTAAATTAGTCGAGCGTTTGGTGCAGTATCGGATTAATGATCGTATTATTTATACTGTGTTTGGTATTATACCGGATAAGATGAATAAAACTTAAAATTGGTATTATAGCGGATAAGAAGAATAAAACTTAAAAAAAAAGTGAAATCATCTTCTTTTTTTTTTGTTTTCGCAGATCTCTCTGCACCCATCAAACTCCCTCCCTCCCTCTTCCTTCTTCTTCCCCGACTGCAGAAGCATCCCAAATAATTCTTCCCTGCTTCTCTCCGCGGCACCCCCAAACTTCATCCCTCTCTCTCCCTTATTCTTCTTCCCCGACGACGACAACTCTATTTTGTCGCTTCGACTCCGTCTTCCTCTACGTCAATTGCGACTCTTATCACCCTGCGTCTAGCCCCTGCGAGGTCTGCGAGCAAGCTCCAAGACCGAGAGACCGAGGTGAGTAGGGAGGATGGCGAGGCTGCTCTCGAACCTAAAGGCTATGGAGAATCCGGATCTGAACTCAAGTCGTAAAAATGGATCCATATCTGGATCTAGACTACCAGCATGTGGATCCGATGCTTGAAGAAGTTCAAGAGCATGACATATGCAGCACGGACGCAGTCGGTTTGGTGTAGCGGTCGTGAAGATGGAGGGGATAGCGCCCCGACTAATTATCCCGAGCTTTTGTGGTGTTTTAATAGTACGATGTCAACCGTATAAAATTTGATAGACCGGATAATTAAGCGGGTGCTTATTTAGTACGATAGTGCACCAAACAAGTGCTCCCGTATTATTTATCCTATCCGATGCTTTATACGGCGTGCCAAACGAGGCCTCAGTGAACAATGATAGACCTCAATGAACAGTAATAGACCAAATGCATCTCCACCCCTAAAACTAAATAGCCTAGTCAATTTTATTAAAATAATTTGATTTTTAATTTCTGACTTTATAGTTTTTGAACTCCAAAAAAATGCTCATCCAATGAAGCAGACCATAGCACGCCAACCCACCACCCATGCTGTCAATCCCCACTCCCTTCTATGACGAAACGACCCTTCTCCTCCCTTACCACCACCGCCTTCATCACCATCACCGCCACCTTCATCATCATCACTACCACCATCCTCTTTGCCATTATACCACCACCAGCTCATGCCTTCGGTTCCGGCTCCACCCTTGCCGTTATCTCCGCCTTTGGATAGGAAATTCTAGTAGGTTGGAAGATCAGTCGGAGGTGGTGGCAAAGACTGCGGCAGCCCATTCTTTGCTACCACTGCGGACAACCAATCACAGTCGAGCCCAACATTTCCTTCTCCACCATCTTCTGCAGATGGACCTCTACTTAGACCTGGCATATAAAAAAAGATTTCAGATCATGACGTCATGTAGGCTGGTCTCTATCTCAGCACATTTTGGGTCGCTCTATGGACTGGGTGCTAGCCTATTAGGCTGGGCTGGAGCAAATTGGCTAGGTGCTGGGCCAAAAAGGCTGCTGGGTGCCGGCCTAATGGCTCTCGGTGGACTTGCTCTTAGGTTTATGGGTCACTAATTTCTTTCAATATTTTCTCATTTTATAAACTTTTATTTTTTATTTTTTTATCAAACGATAGATTTTGTGAGATTAAATGTTAGGGTTTAGCTACCGGCGGGATTCAAACCCAGAATGTCATGCAATGACTCAACACATTTCCATCACTGTGGTAAATGACCACTAATCTCATTTTATAACTGTAAGTACTACAATGTGCATATTAATAAACTAAAAAATTTAAACGTTGAGACATTAAATAAAAAATACACATCAAACAACAAAAATAGTATATAAATTTAAGCCAAACATTGACACAATCCCTTATAAAAGAAGTCTTATAACTTGTGGTGCAAGTATTTTAATATTATATAATATATTCTAAATACAACACATCTTTTTGTTGGCAGAAATCAACGATGGCACGCCTGATAAATCAACAAACCAAATGATTCGCTAAGCCTCCTCGAAGGCCAACTTAATAGAATGAAAATAATCTTAATGAGCTGATTACAAGGAAATCCTTGAAATAGCGAGAACAACTTTGAAAATACCAACAGAGAATCCTAAGATTTAGGATAATGATAACTGATGATTGAGTACCAAGTCTGGATGGCGCTCAAGAAAAGTGCTGTTAGAGCACCGATGAACGCAAGCATGGCCCAGGGGCTACTGAAATGATCTTCAAAGAACTGAGCCATCCATGCCTTCCACTTGGATTTGTAGTGCTTTTCTAATCTGCTACTGATGTGAATTATCGAAGGGTTTGATACCAAATCAGGGCCTATCTCGTTGAAGAGTTGAGCGAGTGCTTCGTCAGTTTCGAGTTTATTGTGAAGTATGCGGGCTGACCTTAGCTGCTTTGCATCTTCGGGATGAGTAATGAATGAACTCAGGAAGCTTAAGTAAGAGGTGACCGCGTAATCATTTTGGAAATCGGGACACATTTCGTAGGCAATCAAATTCAAGAACAAAGGCATTGCGTCCGCGTTCATTGCTGGAAGAAAGAGAAATCCTGCAAAGCATAGTGATTTAAAAGATATGTCACGCAATAGCATACCTTCACTACACCTAAAATGGATCCCGGCTGCCATAAGCTCCTTCGCGTTGCGAAATGATGGTGGAAGTTCATTATCAGCTGCCTCCCTGCCATTTTTTGCTGGACCTAGCATTCTTGTTCGAAGAAGCTCGAGAAGGTGAGTAGTAGGCCATGAATCTTCCATACATACTCCCAAACGCAATTCAAATTTCAGATCTTGTCGCATCATCCTTTTATACCATCTGAATGGCTTCGCTGATGCACCAGCTGCAGTACTATGCATATCAAGAAACGCCTGGATTCCGTGCCAAAGGTCCTCATTTTTTATGCTTGAGCTCATCAAAAGGTTGAGGATTTCATAAGGGATTTGGTTCTCTAGCAAGAACAAGTCTTGTTCAGCAAAGAACACTTGGTCTCTCTTTATCTCAAACTCTTCCAAGGTAGAATACTTTTGTATAAACTGCAAGATTGAACAACCATCTACGAAAAACATCCAAGCGAGGCTCGCCTCATCACCATCATAGCGCTCTGTTGTTTTCTCGTCGTAGCATTGTTTTAACTCCTTGATGTTGTCCTCAACCTCCTTGTACAAAAATTCTTCACTCCGGCCGCTGTCATTGACAAAGTCCGCTGCCAATCTGTATTTGAGCTCCTCCCATTCCGGAAACTTTCCATGATGGATAGGGCCTATTGCTAGTACCCTTGGCTCAAAGTATTTCTCCAAATTTTTATTACTTCGGAGAGTTCTGGAAACATTTTGGATGATCGGTCGTGACCTGCTTGGAACAACACTTGTAGAACTATCCTGATTTTTTGTTCCTGCATCCCTCAATCTATTAAACCTCTGCTCCAAAGAATCAGCCATTGTAGTTTACTGGATCGGAAGCTAGGTTTCTTCTTAATTACAAAGTGCTTATCTCCTTCCATATATATATATATATGTGTGTGTGTGTGTATGACTCTCACTGTGCTAAAAATCCCCGTCTAGACGCTAGGCGACTGGTCATCGTCTCGATTAATGCGTAAGTGTTTAAAAATTAAGAAATGATGCTTAGACTTATTGAGGCACCCGCCTAGCCCGCCAAGATCCGCCTAGATTGCAACTCACTTAGACAGAAAATAAATAACTTTCATTTTGCATTTTATTTTTTTCAATAAATTGTAAGACACTTGTTGAAAATGAACACACATTATATGCTTGTTTCTCATGTTTTCATAACATATATGTCATTATATTTTGTAGTTTATGATGAAATTATATATATTTTAAGAATAAATAGACACTTAGTTACACGAAATATAATAGAATTAATCCGCCTAGGCTCCCGTCTAGCCGCCTAGGCGCTAGGCCTCATCCTGCCGCTCAACTAGCGACTAACGTCTTTTAGAACCTTGGCGACTCTATAGATCAGTACTCGTTGCACTTATATACAGTAAAAGATGTTTAACTTTAGCTTTAACGTGGATAATGACTTTATCTACACTTGAAGATTAGTATTTATGTATTTTTATTTTGCAGAAACTTTTTTATTCGACTTTAACCTCGTTTCAAGTTTGGGATATATATACTTTTGAGGTAGAAACTATGCAAATATCAAATATCATCGTACAGAAAAATGACCAATTAAGAATCATTTTATAAGTGATACACGTGTGGTTAGTTAGCTACGTGTTCTTTTGATATAGAAACCAATTAATCTTGAACTTCCTCTATTGGAAGGGGGCAACAGTCTTCCTAAACAAATGCATGTCAACTTTGAAATTTCTTTCAAAGTGTTTCACATGCTATTGGTTTTGGTATGTCAGACAAGTAAGTGAGGGATTGTGATATGTTTAGAGCTAATACACATTAAATACATAATTGGTTAATGGAGCGAAATAATGGAACTCGAAACTTTGAATTGGAGTTGGTTACAAACTCGGTAAAGACTGACTTCCTCCATGATACGGGGAGCAGTTGCATCGTATAAGTGGCTTGATTTCTCTTCTCAAATCTTTCATTTTATTGTTTGTTGTTTGTCTTGTTGAGAGTAAAGAACATAATTAAGCTTGATCGTCGGACTACAATTGTAGCCTTACTCTCCTAAATCCTGAGAATGATAAGCCCAAACAAACTGAGGGACAAAATCCCACCATGAGTAATCCGAGCGAGTGGTCAGCTCCATAATTTGCTAAGGAGTCCGCTACTACTATGTTACCTTCCCAAAATATATGTGAAAAAATGGAAATGCAACCTAGAAGCACGCCACATACAATTTACCCAATCATTACATAACTTCCACGAAATAGAAGAAGGAGATGTAAAAAAACTAAACCACCACAAAGGAGTCTGTTTCCAACCACACATGGTGCCAATCACGCACCCATGCCACACGGATTGCCTCCAAAACTGCAAGAACTTCAGCTTCAACAGCACTAGCAACATGTGCATTTGCCGCAAAAGCCCCCAACCACACACCATTAGAATTTCGAAACACTCCACCTTATCCTGCCGAACGGTTAGCTCTGAAAGAACCATTAGTATTTACCTTCACCGAATTATCAAATGGTAGTTGCCAGTAAACAGCACAAGAAAGAGCTGATGGACGCAAGGGAGACACACCCAACATGCTAAAAATTGGAGGTATTTAGTTTGAAGATGAAGCGTAACCAGGGAAAAAAAAGCACAGCCGAGTCCCTAAGAACTGAGAAGCTAACGCTTCGTGGAGGCAAGCCCAAACTACCTAAATCCTTTAGGTGCTGCAAGTAATCAATTTCAAGCGATTTTAGGTGAACCATCTTCCACAACCCAAGCCAACTCAAACCTTAGACACTAACCTCTCACTCGTTCGATCATCTTATATCTTTAATTTTTACCAGCACAGCTAGAATCAATGTATGGCGGTTTTAGATAGAGTGATTGATTTATGGGTTCTTTAGATATAAACATTTGCAACTCTTATTTCCTAAACGAAAATCCACATAGTTATAAACATCCAAATAAAACCCAAATTTAAAAATGACTGCTAAGTATAGAAGTAATTGACCTATTATTACAAATTATTTACAATTTGTACCATAATATTCAAGATAAAATCAATAAATGTTATTATTCACCTTAATTACAATAAAAATATAATTATTGCACATATTATTACCCCTAACACAAACATATATAGTCACTTCCAGCACCAACTTGAGCCACAGACTCGAATTGCGCGCACATGTGTAAAAGAATCTTGTAGGTAGAACTTGCTCCTACAAAACTGGATCGTAAGGTGTGCAAGAGCTCATAATCATATATACAATATCTGAAAAGAAAACGGATTTTCACCCGTCTATAACTGATTTTCACCCATCTTTTTTAACCTCTTGCACATTTCTATTTACTTTTTACTATCAAATTAAATAAATTAAATAAATCAAACAAAATCAATATATTTAACGTAGTAGGTTTCTAGTTGTACAATAAATAAATGCATAAACCACGTATGGTCTTACTTCATCAATTTGTTACAAAACTATTGTTAACCTTAACAAAATTAAGAACAAGTTTTGTCTCATAACTAAAATATAGAAAACACAGCACACACTTGGCTGGCTCGATCTACACTTACAAATTGATTATCCAATGAGTCGCTATCTTTTGACACCCTTAAAAAATCTACGAATATATTGCATGGAGCCAGAAAATTGTGAACCATCATTTTCTTTCACTTTCTTTCATTGTCTTCCCTTTATTTTTTCAATATCTACTTTTCCACATGGTGTAGTAGTTATACACATATAAATGATTTTTAATTAGTGTTTGAATTTTTTTGAATAAGGTCGATATTAGCAGAGAAAGATGTAGAAAGAAGGGGGGGTGGTTTGAAGTAATTAAATTTCACCTCATATCGGGGAAATTTTAAATTTCAGCTAAAATACATAAATTTTGTTAATATTTCCGACATATCGGTTAAATATCAGAGAAACTCTTATATTTCATTTAAACTAGTGTTTGACATTTCCTAAAGTTTCATTTTAAACTTCCTTCGAAAGCAACAAATATCAAAATATTCATCGATATTTTCACAAATGCATATTAATATTTCCACCAATTGATATTTGAAACACTGCTTTCAATAGCTATAACGCCTTATATGATACGAATACAGTGTTATTTAAAGTCCCATATTAATAAAACAAAAAAAATCTAAATGATATATATTTATTTTATTAACATAAAATGTCACTAGTTTTTTGTTTCTCTCTCTAATAATAAACTAAAGAGGCCAAGGATGAGTCCGTGGTACGTTCACGTGTAGGAAAATTATAATATGTGCATAGTGCATGTACACAGTGATCGATATGGAAAGCGATCAAGTGATCGGAGAGCACTAGGGCTTCTGGTCTTACCCAACAAGTTTGAAAAAATTCGAGTAAGTGCATGCATGGTTTGGTCACAGTGGCGAGGCCACCAAAAACATGTGATGAATTAAATAAGTTCACCTACTTACATTTTCCTGTGCAGCACCAGAGAATTATTCGTCTTTAGTCAACACCATGTATAGTTTTGCTCCATTAGGAGCTGGATCGAATATAATTGTACTACAGTGGAAAGATCGATGATTGTCCATGAATTTAAAAGGTTTATTAAGTAGAAGAAATGTTCTCCTTGTAACTGGGTGATTGAAAAATACAAGGTCATTCACATTTGTACTGGATATTAAGGGCAGAGAACAAATAAATGTGTTTTTAATGTTTTAATATTCGATCTTGATGTTAAATGCAATGGTAATGATCATAAATATTTCGATTTAAGTAACAAAGAGAGCACAACTTTTTATAAGTAGTAGTTTTCCCTAGATTACAATTTTAAAATAAAACCTCATGCATCAATCAGCTTATTAAGCCATGACTCAACTTATATCTATGATGTGTAACTTGCGTATGATAGAACTTTTTATACAGTACATGCTAGTGTCGAGTGGGAACGTGCATGCATAACAACTTCTTTTTTTAGTAAAAGTACAATATTTCATCATTGAGCAAAGGGCATTATAGAGAATTTCATAAACAATTCATCTTCAAATGAGTTTTTGCAAATTTTTTTTTTTAAAATTACAATAAAGTATGTCTAATTGCAAAGCAATAAACAGACTTCAAGTACTTCATGGAAAGTCGAGATCACCAAGAACTGCAAATTACAAAAATCAATATAAGCATGAAAAAAATTAATTTCTAACATTTTAAATACCAATTGGTTTGATTAAATGATGATATTGATTCCTATTTATGTTGGTATAACTAATTAATTAATGAATTTTAATATACAAGACGGCAAAAAGGCCACATAAAGTTCTATAATATTAGGGTTATAGCAATAATTTGATTGAGGATCACAGAAATGGGAACCCATTGTTCTTTCCACTACTGCTTTTGCTTTATGCGATCCCATAAGAGGATTAAACATTCAAAAATGGAGCATTAGCATTCATTTATATATAATAATGCATTGTTCCAGAAGGATTAGGGAATAAGGAATATCTTGTATTTTTGAGATATATCAGTTGTTTATGTGGGAGCAGCAAGAACAGACAACGTACGTTAGTACAAGGGAAGCACACCACATTGACCAATCACCTTGTTGTATATATTATAAGGTCAAAGGCATGCCAAGATAAGATTTTGATTCTCTTTGTTTGGAGCTGGGGTTTCCTATTGTCTCTCTTTTATTTTAGTTTTAGAGTTTGGTTTTAATACACTTTCAGTTAGTAACCTAATTAGTAGTTTTTTTTTTTTTTTACAAGTAGATAAATTTCTTGATCTAGAGAGAAATCCGCGCAATAACAAAAGAGATAAAATTCATACACGACTACTACAAGAATTACAAGAACTAAAGCA